AAGAAACCCAAAGTCATTAGCAGTCAGTCCCCATTTCACCCTCCCCCCAGTCTCTGACAACCACTAACCTACTTTCTATTTCTATAGATTTGCCTATTCTGTGATTTCATATAAATAGAATAACAGACACAGATGGCTCTTTCTATCTGACATCTTGCACTTAACATAATGTTTTCAAGGTTCATTTATGTTGTGGCATTCACCTGTCCTTCATTCTTTTTGATAGCTGAATTATGTATCATTGTATGGATATACCACATTTCATTTTCTTTCAAGATTTTATTTTTATTTACTTATTTTTTAAAATTTCAGATTAATATGGGGATACATATGATTAGATTACATAGTTTTTTGTAAGGTTAAAGTCCAAGTTGTAGGTGTGTCTTTCACCCAGGAAGTGTGCAATATTTGTTCTTTAAATGTACTGCAACATACCCCCACCGGGTATGAGAATTTGGGGAGTAATTCCTAGAAATGGGCTTATTTCCATTTTCTTTTGCAGTTTTTGGCTGGGGCTGGGTTTGAACTCGCCACCACGGGTATATGGGGCCAGCACCCTACTCCTTTGAGACACAGGTGCTGCCCTCTTCTTTCCATTTTCATACTTTTTAAAGGTTGTTTGGAATTGTCATGGTTATTACAAAAGCAAAGAAATTTTAAAACCACAATGTAAATGATGTCATAATTAGCCAAAGTTTAAGTAAGGAGGCAGAGGTAGCTGATAAGGCCAGTTGAAGCTGGTTCTTTCTTGCAGTTATCAGGCTCTCTGGTTGACTTCTGCTTGAGGGTTGTTTATTTTAACACCTGAATCCAATCTTTAAATTCCTGAACCTAGTCTTCACCTATCTCCTACTCTAACAGGTTTGCTTCTGGAAGCATTTAGTGGCAAAGACTGCATGAATTCCTTGGTTATAGACAGCCTTAGTGTGGTGGCTTTCTCACATGCTAGTTGTAAGTGATATACCAGATGAGTGAAGAGGCTCATGGCCTCCTGAGGCGTGGGAGTTGTCACAGGTAAAAGAAGCTTATCTTGTTCCCATGTTCTGTGTGCTTAATTATACTCACAGATTTTGTATAGGGTTGTGCAGGTCAACATCCAGACCAATAGATGATGCTGAAAGGTAAGAACAAACTGTGATGGTAGATTGGGGTTTATGCTTCATCTTTGTTTACCAGGAGAAGATGCCGCTCTCCCAGGCAATGGTCTGGCTGGTATGTGGAATGCCCGGGGGGTTGGGTTCCATACTCAGCCTTGGGAGTGGGAGTGAAGCGAGGAGAGCCTAGAGTGGGCAAGCCCACACTTTGTCTTCCTGATGGCAGTTGTAAGCACCAGTTCTTGTGCTGGTCCAGGGAGCAGTCACCACATGCCTGAAGGAAAAGAATAGAGACACCACTGCTGCACCAAGTTCCTTACAGGAAAGGGAGGGACACCCCAAGCACCTAGCTCCCTTTCACTCTTCAGAATCAGTGGGGCTACTCCCCTGTTCCAACCAAGGGTGTCATATGTGGTACTCAGCAAAGAGCAAAGTCACATACAATCTGGCTTTAGATCCCAAAGCCATTCCTGTCTGCAAAACTCACTGACTAGCAAAACCACAGTTGTCTGGAAAAATCTCCTCCTAGTCTGACGAATTATAGTGTCCATGGCTGGAGCACACTCATAATCAGCTCTGAGTTCTGGCTGTGGGGCCCCTTCCCTCACCCAGCACTCTAAGCCCTGGTCTGAGACTCTAATGCCTGCAGCTGCCACTGATTCTTGATTGCTGAATCCTGCCCAATTCTCTAATTGGGTCCTGGGTGTAGGAAAATCCTGGGGCACTTTTTGGTGCTCTTCTTCTTCTTCTTTTTTTTGCAGTTTTTGGCTGGGGCTAGGTTTGAACCCACCACCTCCGGTATATGGGGCCGGTGCCTTACTCCTTTGAGCCACAGGTGCCACCTTCGTGCTCTTCTTTTTCAGTGTCTTATCCTCTTCCCCAGGTTAGTTCTAGGGCTTGAGAGGGACAAGGTGCTGTCTTGTGGACTGTGCTGTGTGCTTTCCCAGTGGAAAAGTAGTTCACACAGGGACACTCTCTCCCTCTCTGCTTTATTGGGTGTTCACTCACAGTTTTCAGCTAGACTACACCGTCCAGGCTGTATGATCACCTTTCCCCTGGGATCTTTGCTTTACTGTTGAATTACTATGTTCCTTCTTCAATGAAAGTTCACGGTGTGAATCTACACACCATTTTGCTTCTTCCAAGGTTGGGGAGTAGAGAAGACTCTACTCCACCACTAGTCATCAAGATGACGCTACTTTAGTACATCATGGTGGTGGTGGGTTGTAGATCAACAACAAGGAAGCCTTCAAGTATCAGAAAGTCTGTGAATGCCCATTGACCTGGGAAAAAAATCTGTGACATCCAGCCATGGGCGCAGTCCATGTCCCTGTGGCCACTGACTCTGCATTTTCTTTATAGTGTCCTTTGAAGCCCAAGTTTTAATTTTGATATTATGTATAAAAGGCAGATTATATTATGCAGTGATTGCAACTGGGTAAAGTTATGTATTATATGAAGTAGGCTGATGAACCATACTGTTTACCTGAGGCTATTTTGGTTTTAACATTGAAAATCCTACATCTTAAGAAATCTCTCAGACGTGACCAAATCAGATGGTTGCTCCTTATTATGAATAAGGATTGTAAGAACAGAAAAGATGTTGATCACTTTCTTTGTCAATGGGCACAATTGATTTTTAAAAGTTTGTCATGATAAAATTTTTGCAAAAACAAAAATTGAGAGGCAAAACTGAGTTAAGACCAGAGAATATATCTTCCACTTCAGGGCAGTATGTTTGCTCTTGCCCAATGTTGTTATTTGAATTCCATCTTGCAAAAAGTTAATTGGGGAAAAAGTCATAGCAAAATTTTTTCTTCTTTAATAGTAGATAACAAAAAGTGTCTCCTATTATAATGAGTTATGTAAGGTGAGTAAAAACTAATTATTTGCATTCATGATGTCTCAAAATTTTTAAGGAGACTGAGTTTGGAGAGGAATCCTTATACATACTTCTGAAGTGGAGATATCGAGATAGAAACAATTATCTTTTGCTAGTTTTCTGATTTTTATTATTATTTTTTTGGAACCTACCATTGCCATGTCCTTTTCCCTCTTCACCAGTCCAGGCACATATTCAGTCCTGGTGTGGAGTGCTGAGAGTGAGGACTGCGTTATCAATGACCTATTCCATAAGACTTTTCCTTGGGAATGTGTATCTGTAAACTATGCTGATATGAATATTTGATGACCCATCTCACAGTTTAAACCCAGATTGGCATTATGTGAACTTGAGTCAATGGAAGTCTCATTTTCTGATGTCCTAAAAATAAGGAAGTATGGGGGAAATACCCATGCTGGAATCATCTATTGTGAACAAGGACACGAATAAAGATAGTTTTATTCATTTAGAGCTAATTTTGAAGACTTTATGTAGAGAAAGGTTGTCTCCTTTTTGTGTGTGCGTATGTGTGCTAATTACCTGGAATATCTTCCATTGGTGGTCCTTAAGAGGTGGAAATATCATAGGCAGTGAAAATTACACTGTCTACCTACGTACTGCCAGCATTCAATATGTAGCAAATGCGTAAATGTAGTTCCTAGATTATAGTGATGTCATCCTAGGTTAACATTCTTTTTAGATAAGGTACTGGTATATGTGGATTGAAAAATAGTAAGGCTATTGCCTGAGATTTGGCATTTTAATTGTGCTTCTGAGCATAATCTTCCTGAGAATGTCTTAGCACTTAGTATCTGTATTATACAATCTACCAATTTATTATATAATAATGAGGCAAATAATTTTCCAAATGTGAACATTTAAGTCTTTTGATCCCCAAGGGGTAAAATCTGATCCTGACTCTTTTTGTCTTTCTCAACACCTGTTTAGTTCTAGTCAGAGTCTAGGCTCTTCATAACACCTGTTGACTTTGGTTTGGTATTAATAGTTTGTGCAGACAATTTTGTTATTTCACATCACAGAATTTGAGTACGAACACTTGGGTAGGAATGAATCTCTTGTAATTACCAGCTGTAACTGTGGACATGTTACCTTTTCTTATTTGCAAGTTATTTTACTTCTTGAATAATTTGTATAATAAATAAGGATAGGAGTTCTTTCTTGATCCAGGAAGATCAAATGAAATTATTTGATAAAATACTTGGTCATTTGTAAATCGTTGTATAAATACAAGTGTTTATTATTTGAGATTAGGATAGTCATTGTGGCATTTTTCTACAGCCATTCTCTTTTCTTGGCTAAAGGCTAAAAGTAGATAGACAGTGCAGTCAAGATCCTAGACCAAGAATTAGGGGAAATTAAATCAGAGACATGTTCATGTGTATTCTATGCAATTTGTGCAAAAAAGGACGGGCATTCACTATTTACAATTTCTTATAATGGGGGCTATGGATGCTCTAAAAATATGCCACATAAATGTGTCAAACCCATAGAAAGATAGATGGGTTAGCTTCCTATTGCTTCTCATTAATATTAATTATTGCCATTAAAACAATAGTGTAAAAGGGACTCTACCAAAAATATAGATGTGGAGGGAATTAAAGATAGTTTAAGGATGGCATAGAACAGTAATATACTTTTTCTGTCAGGTACAGAATCTCCCTTTTGCTGGAAGAAATGCAAAAAAAAAAAAAAAAAAAGCTACTACTACTAGTACGAAAAACCTATCCAAGAAAAGGTTAATGGGAAAGCACATCCCGCAGCATTTATTATGCCTTTCTTCAATGTAGCAAAATTGCCCAAAACAAGAAATGTGACAACACAATCTGCTACAATGGCTGTATTCTCCAAATGTGAGAAAACAAGATTTGTGGCCACTCTATGGCAAGACCAAATAAAAATATGGAGGAACTATGCATTGTACCTCAAGAAATGAAGGTAAATGTATTGCTTGGTAGCTATGAACACTAATACTTAGAAAAGGAAACAGAAAAAGAAGAAATATTTTAAGCGGAGATGTCATTTTCTACTGGTGAGGATTCCTGATCTTGGGGAGGTTCGGGGAAATTTACTTCTGTTTCTTCTTCTTCTTGGATTGGAATAATTTCAATGTCTTCTTCATTCTTTGGTTGGGAAGATATCTCAGTTAGCTCAACTACTTCTTCTTTTATTTCAATGGCTTGTTCTTTTTTTTCTTCAGCTGACAGGAGAACCACGTTCTAGAACACAAAATTAAACTTTTCTTGACTTTTACTATTGACACTTTTCTCAATAATCTCTACAAATACTTATCAACTACTTCCTAGTTTTTAGTGCTACTTATCTTATTTACTATATTCCTCCAAATATCAGGATTGATTTCCCATGTGCTCAAATTGTTATCAAACATTTACTTATTAAAACCCAAAGGTAATTGACATTTGCCACTGTGGCTGGAATGATCACATGGTATTAGGAACATGGCAATTGTAGATTCTGTTTCTGATTTGGCTTCGGTGACTATAATCCTGCGAAAGGAATTTTCTTTCTAATCCTATTTTCCTCATCTGCAAAATGAAAGAATTTGGGATGATCTCTAAATTTTATTCTGAATCTAGCTGTCAGCTTCTGAGCAGTTGGCAATAGGCCTATCATCGGGATATTCATATTTCCCAATTGTGGAGCCACTCAGAACTTGTTTTTATTATTATTATTATTATTATTATTGTTTATTGTTTTGGAAGAGGATTTAGGTGAAAAGGGTGGGGTGAGGAGAAATGAAATCAAAGAATTAGTGACTAAGCAGCTTTCACCTATCACTAACCATCCTGCTTTTGCACCTTGCATATGAAAGTCTGAAGCCTGAACTCAAACAGAAGGGAAGGTTAGTAAGAAGCTGCTAACTTGTAGAACAGTGTCTTCTAGCTAGAGACTTATTTCAAATTTCAAGATATTTTTCTTCTCTATTTTCTTCAATTGCTATTTTTTTCTTTCTACCAGGACATCAAAACCATTTATGTTAAGCTCCCCATTTTTCAAGGCCTCGTCAGGTTACATTCTCCAATAAATGATCCTTTGTAGAGGTGAATCTTCTAGAGAACAGCTATATACAGAGTGACTACCACTTACAGCTTTGGGTCTGGAGCACATTCTTTTCCATTCATTCTCAACAATGCCCGCAACCACAAGTTCCTGGAAGAAGGCGAAGATGAGCATCACTGACAAGGTGCCCTAAAAATAACAGAAGGATGAAGGTGAAAATGTAACAGTGGTATGAAGAACGTGGTTGGTGTTCAGTAAATTACTATTGACAGAGTTAAATGATTCGAAGATCAATTCTTTATGCAAGTACATTACTGACTGTGAGAACTGCTAGCCTAACAGACAGTGTCCTCACAACCCTAACCCTTGACACAACTGACACACAACAGAGGGCTAATGCATGGTGCAGATAGGAAGTAAGGTAGGAAGAGTGAGTTGAAGAATCAATTCTATGTGGGAAATAATAAGTACTGAGCCCCAAATTACACTGTATTCAGATTTAAGTGATGTGGTATCATACCAAAGAAATCTCTCCATTTTGGGAGACACATTCTTTTCTCCCTTCAAACTCTATCCTAAAAATTTCTTGAGTCAAAAAATGTTCAAAACGCCTTAGGTATTTCTTTCATATTCAGCTTAATAATATGATAAATAGTCATGCTGTTAATGATAATGTTGTATCGTGCTTCCTATGTACCACTTTTCTAAGTACTTTGCATACATTAACTCATTTATTCTTCAAAACAACTCAATGAGATAAATATTGTTACCATTCCCATTTTATAGTTGTAGAAATTGAGGCAGAGTGTGCTTAAAGTTCTTGCCCACACCTATGTAGGCAATAAGTAGCAAAGTCAGAATGTCTGGATCCAGAGTTGATGCCCATGAACACCATACATTCTCCCCAAAGAGAAATCCAATCTCACTTACCAAAAACACAGTTCGTATGTTGTAACAGTATTGCGTGGATGGAGAGCTTATCTCAGAGGGCATAAGTGGTTCACAGTTGTATATGTTAATATATGGCACGGGAGTTTTAATGAGATTCTGACTCTCCATTTTTAAAAAATGGGAGATTTTAATATTAAGTATGTCCAAGATAGAAAGAATCATTCCAGAAATGGCAGCAAAGAGGCTCAGTGAGTTCATTATCACTTTCCCTTTGACCTGAAATGGAGACAAAGACATACTAATTAGATTTTATTTCCATTTGAAGAGTGTAAGTTAGGAAGGAATTCCAGAGGTCATGCCCCTGACTCACAAAAGTACAACCCCTAAATCATACTAAAGTTCTTCTCTGAGTTGTTTTTATCCTCTTGGTTACTATAAATTAAAATCACTTCTCTGTCTTGTTCCTTTCTCAGTCTTCCCCATCGCAGTTTATGTCATCACTATCTATTCATTTTATCAGACCATCATTCTGGGAGTGATCCCTAATTCCTATATCTTGTGCCCTTGCACTTCCTTCACTGCTACTCACCATCCTGGTAGGTATTCAGTAAATATTTGTTACATAAGAAGAATAGTCTCCAGATCACATGTCTGCATAAGAAGATACAGGAGCAGAGAAAAGAAGGTTCGTGCATGATGCTTAAGTGCATGGTATTGTGGGTATAGGTTGGAAAGGTACAGATAGAGCCCTCTAGGTCTGCACCATCAAATGGAAATCAAAAGCAACAGCAATGATATTTTCTCTCCTGTTGACATAGGTTGCAATCAGCCGCAGTCAATCAATCTTTCAAAATATATTTCAGGCTTGTGTCTTTAGATATCATAAGTAAGAAAATGTCAGTGTGAATGTTCAACTCTATGGGAATCATAAAAAGTTGAAACAGGAAATTATATGTGGCAAGTGCCGTAATTATATGGGATGATTATTTCATGACACACATATTTCATCCCTGGCTACTTGCCCTTCCAATGGCAAGTCAGTAGGTCTAGCTGTATTTGGAGAATAGAATTCCTTGATTTTCATAAATTTCCCCCCAAAACTGAGTTGATTAGACCAAGGAGGAACTGAATTGGTTAGACTGAGGAGGAACCATCTAATCTACTTACTCTCTCACTGACTTTGAAAGTGACTCAGCCTAGGAAGTAAAAGTGTTGGGGGAAATTTTTCTTGGGAAGGAACTTGCTGCTAGCTCTTTTTCACCTACATAGAATTGCCAGCTTTCAGCACAGCTTCTTCCTTGGTATAGATGAATCCTTGGCAGATAGATGAGCAAGACCACACTAGCTCCTTACAGCTGCTGAAACACTGTAGCACCTGTTACTCCATTTCATCCTCATACCAGTTTCACATGGTAGCAGGGATGAAGTACCTGCTTCAGGTACCTCCATTTTATAGGCAAAAACTCAGAGGTACATAAACTAGTATGTTCAAGGTTACAGCTAAGAATTAGCTTAGTTAGAATTTGAACCAATCACAACAATGATCAGATAATTTTCCTAAATGGTGGTCTGGGAGAAATGACATAGCTTTTAAAAAATGTCTATTATTTTCATATAGCATTTAACATTCACAAGACTGTAAGATGGTCTTCATAGATTTGCTTTTAGTTCTATGTCCGTGGACATACTTCAGGTAGATGTCATTTCCAAGTTTTTCATTAATAAAATTGTAACAGCATTGTGGAGGACTGCTTGCTCTTTTAGGGTTGAAAGTCTGTGATGTCAAGGCTCTTTAAGGGAGTTTTCAACTAAAAGAATAGGTGTGTCTCTGATGTGTGGGGAAAGAAGGAGCTATGGTTACTTGCCAAACTCTTCCTGGAGTTTTTCTCTGCTGCTGCCACGAGTGATCCAGAAATAATATACTGTAAAAAGAGAAGTAATTGGTGGAGAGGGAGTGGGTGGGGAGAGAGAAAAGGGAGAGAAGGGATCATTTTTTAACATTGATGGCTGGCCAGAGAAAAGACATCTATAGTTTCAGCCACTTTCACCAAACTATCTACCCATTTTTATTACATAGGTTCATTTATTTTTCAGTAGTCATATTTCTCTTTTTTCCAGCTACATTCAATCCATAACTTTCTTTCTTTTTTTTTCTAAAGATGTTTTTTATTTCAAATTAACATGAGGGTGCACATTTTTAGGGTACAATATTTTCACTTCCAAGATCAAGATCAAGCTCAACTTGTAGAAGAACCCTTTGCCCGAGGGGTGTGCTATAGAAAATCTGATTTGAAATGGGAAGAAGTATACATTGCCATGTTCAACCATCTGGGGAGCTATCGCTAAGAATAGAATAAGACCTAAGAGACAGAACTTCTATTTCCCTGTCAATTAATACTTACACTGTTAATTGAAAGGTTTTTATTTTTAGTTCTTTCCTTTTTTTTTTGTTCAACTTGTTGAAACAATCTTTGAGATTCACATTGATTTAGATGACTTTGATGCTAAGGAAGAATGAATCTGTGTAGAATGCTTGGCCTTGATGTCACAGGCATTCCATTAAAATGTTGGCTGCTGCAGGAAGTGAGGATTATTTATCTTCCTTTTCTAACATTTAAGCTATAGAATGGCAGTAATTCTTCTTATAAACCTTTTCTCTTTGTTTTGAAACTTTCAATCCTGGACTCATCTTTATAGTGGCAACTATGAAAAGTATCATGGGGAAAATAAAGATCACTTGCTGCCTCATGCCATGCCCAGGCAGGGTTACAAGTTTAGAAAAAGTATGCCTGAAACAGCCATAGCCACAGAACAGTGTTGTAGAGAAGGAGCAGACGGGAGGAAGTGGGATGTTCCTGCTCGCTCTCACATCCCCAAGCATCATGCCCTGTAGTCCAAATCCTTGGTGCTTCCCTCCCCACCAAAATTGACTATGGAGAGGTTCTTCTTTAAACAGTCCCTGCGTAGGTCCATGAAGACATCTATCATTCTCTGATTACACGTAAGGCAATAACCACTGACTCTTAACCATGGCACACATGCTCAGTTTATTCAGCCTCTCTTACTGCTTACTTCTTTTTAACTCAGTAACCTATTTCCTACCCATATTTTCCTTTTACACAGAAATAGTCTAGCATATCTCTATGGAGCCTTTTAATATTTTTGTCTGTCCCATTCCCCAAATAGTTGCTATTTTTTTACTCACCATAACACCTCCCCAGAGAGGGTACCACACAGTCACACAGATGGGTGCATATTCCCCTGTGGGGATCATCAGGAGGCCCCCCAGGGCAATGTGGAAGAGCCCATTCATGATCTGGACGGCCTAGGGAAAGAATAGGGGCACCAATGGGTGAACTGAAATGGTCTGTGTTAGAAGGCAGAGGCAAGATTGGAAGCCTCAGTTCCTGACCTGGAGCCATGCAAAATGCCTAAAGGCAGCAGTGGAGGTGAGACCAATTTTGTCTTTTTCTTATTCAAATTTGATTTTCCTCACCCCATGGGGCATTTCTACTGGAATCCAGGCAGGGACTGCAATAGGAGACCCCTAGACTTACATGCCCCCAAACCAAAAGGTGACGATCCAGGTGATAACTTCTCTAATACCTACCTGATTTGGCCAACTGTGCCAGACATATCAGGCTGGATGAAAACCCTTCAAGTTGGGTTGAATTCTGTACATGGCCTATAGAATCAGCTTTTGTAAACCAGAGACTTCTAGGATAGGGCATGAGGGCACCTGACTTACCCCTAAAGCTTTAGACTGCCTCATGAAGAAGCTCTGCGTGGGGCCCACCAGGGATGACAGCCTCCTCAGGGTTACTTTTTGAACAGGTTGTACAGGAATAGGGCCTTTCATAGGCTCTGCTGGGAAAGTCCCATTTACTGAATTTCTGGGTGTTGTCATTTTGCTCTTAAAACTCCTAAAAATAAAACAAAGCAAGGAAAGTAAGAAGAAGATTTTTAGCAATCTTAACCCTGTCATGCTTCTAAAGGCTTCTTTCCGCATTCCCTCCGTGGTGTCATTAAGGGTAGACTTGGCTTCTTCTTGGTGCCTGGGAGCCTTGGGTCTGAGGCAAGTCCTGTTGCTGAGTTCTGAGAAAGGATCTGGAGGTGTTTGCCTGAGGCAAGAACATAGGGCCCCCAGATCCCTGCCAGTGTTCCTGGCAACCAGATTTGGGACATATATTTTCCCAAACCATGCATATATATGACTGTATGTCTTATTTGCCTCTCATCTCTAGATGCTTTTCTATGATTTAATATCAGAAATTGTATTTTCTATCAATTTGTCTTATCCTTTTGTTTATTTACCTTTGTCCATTGTGGTGGGTCAGAAGCATCATGATAGATGCCATCATTTTCCTGTCATGAAAGTGGTATAAAGAACACTGGAGATTCAGAAGGGGGTATGGAAAGGCATAAGGGATGAAAAATTAACTACTGGGTACAAAGTACACTATTTGGGTGACAGGTACACTAAAAGCCCAGACTTTACCACTGTATAATTCATCCATGTAACCCCAAAACACTCGCACCAATTACAGTCTATTGAAATTAAAAGAAAAACTTTTAAAACAAACAGAAACAGCAGGGGAAGACCTGATTCTAGGCCTTCCTCTACCTCTAAATCTGCTATCTTGAGCAAGTCATGTCAAGAAGGCTATCTTCGCCTATAATCCCAGCACTCTGGAAGGCCGAGATGGGGCGATTGCTTGAGGTCAGGACTTGGAGACCAGCCTGAGCAAGAATGAGACCAGGTCTCTGAAGAGGCAGTGTGGTGGGCGTTGTAGTCCCAGTCACGCCATAGTCTGAGGCATGAGAATCACTTGAGCCCAGGAGTTTGAGGTTGCTGTGAGTTATGATGATGCCATGGCACTCTACGCAGGGTAGCCAAGGAGACCAGCTCAAAAAAGGGGGGGGGGCTATCTAATGCTGCATATAAAATTATAACCACCTGAGTGGGATTGCCCTAGAATTGGCAATTCTTTTATTTGCTCTGAGACTTTGGGCAAGTTTTTTAAGTTCACTGGGCTTTAAGTTCTTCAACAATAAAATGGAGATGATAATAATAGTTCTTATCTTGTAAGCTGTCATAAGGCTTAACTTGGCTCATAGTCTGTGCATAGTTGGGTGTCTTTTCATCCAGGTGTAGCTCAAAGGTCACTTCCTTTGAGAAGCCGTCCCCGAATGCTCTATAACACATACTCCTGTTTGCTCTCTTTCTCTCACAAAATCCTATTTTATTTGCTTCATGGCATTTATCATGCCTGTGGGAAATTACCCTGTTCATTTACTTGTTTGTTACCTGCCTCTCTCCACAGAATATAAGTTCCATCGAAGTAGAGATTTTGTTCTCTCTTGTTGAGTTTCTAAAATAATGCTTGGATTTCGTATTTTCTTAATAAATTTTGTTGAAGAGATAAATGTATGCAAAACACCCCCACGTGGGAGTAAATATTAGCTGTTTTGTTGCTATTCTCGCTCTTCTTCTTACCTTTTTGAGCATTAGTTTCTGTTTTATCCATCTGTAAAGTGAAAAGAATAATACTCCTCTCTTGAAGATATTGTCAGAAATAAGTAATATAACATGTGCAATTGTGCCTAGTACATAGGAAGAGCGTAGTAAAAGCTATTCATTGGTGTTCATGATTTATTCGTTTCTCAAGTCCTTCCAGCTCAAACATTTTAAAACTTTGTTCAGTCTTCTACATCATGGGCTTCCTTTTGGTATTTGCGCATTCAATTATGTCATCCACTTATGTGAATTTTATCGGGTCTTCCCTGGGGCCTGGAAATTCCTCTTTGGTGATACTTCTTTGGTCTTGTCTTTATTGATTTTAGGCTGTGTAAGGGTCCTCGGAAGTCAAGACAATCTAGTTGCTTATCTTGCTAAATCGGCACCAAGGCCAGCCATTAGACTACAGGTTAAAGTACAGCCATCAGAGCTGGGACAAATAGCTTGTAAGACAAGTAGGTGGCTGGGAGTCACTCACATTTAACTTTAGAGTTAAAAGGAAATCTCACCCATGGCATTTCATCCGAGTCTCACAGAATAGGCAAGGGATGAATCACTGCCTCTGTTTTATAGAAGAGGAAACAGGGCACAGAAAAGTTAAGTAACTTGGAACAAGTTACATAATTATTAAGGATTTAAAATAAGGACTCATACCTATCAAATGACCACATTACTTTGTCTCCTGTGGGGAATAGGACTTCAGCTTTTCCCTTATGAACCCATCACTTCTCCTTCAAATAGTTGCACTATTTGGATGACTGTAAATCAGTTAAAAACAGGTTATTTGAGGCCTGGGCTAGAGAGAAGAAAAAAGAGGCTTTCATAGAATGTTTCTTACTTGATTTTGCCCCTGCCCCTCTATAGCCTGATGTCATATGGTCCTTGGGATCTGCGTTGTACCAAAACCTACCCCAAGACCACCAACAAAAAGGGATTATATTAAATATATCCCACTCAAGGGTTTTCAAATGGGCTCTGGTCATCAACCAGAATTTTCTAGAGCTAGTCAGAACTTCAAATTATTCTGCTCATTTCACAAATGAAGAAACTTCAGCCTGGTAAAGATCTTAGACTTGGTAACAAAATGAAATTGAGAGACAGTCGCCATGGCTCTGATACTGATGCTTTTTCTGCTACGGCCTAGTTCAGATAATTGTAGCTGTTTACTGAGCACTTACAATATTCCAGAGATATTGTTTATGTTATTTCCAACTATCCAAACACCTTTCTTCCTAAGTAGTCCTTTTTCCTTTTGTAGCTGTGGAAGTGGAGGAAGTAGGAATAGGAAAAAGTGGGCTTTCTGTCCCACGGCCGTGGGTGTGGAACAAGATGAAATTGCCTAGACTTCTTCCCATGGGAAGGTGCCTTGTGTTCCTAGATAACCATAACTGTGCACAAATCATGCTTATGTAACTGCTGCTTGGTACATGGCCACCTTTGTTCTCCTGGGTATAAAGATGCACAGGACCTTTCCCTTGCACAGATTATGGATTTTAGATTGCACCATGCAATAGCTCCCTGGCCACCAGGACCTAGGAGGGACCTGCCATGTAACTCAGCTCACCAGCTGCCTGTGAGCTGAGTGAAGCATGTTATACCTGCCCTCCATGCCGGAGTTCTTCTCCGGTCTGGTTGAATTAGAACACTGGCATTACAGGATTATTAACCAAATAATCCACCAACACCATCATGTACTCAGGGGGTTAGAGCTACCTTACTTTTGTTACCTCAACTTCCTCCTGTGCCACTTGAAATAGCTTTGCAGTTTTATCCTTTCTGGCCTTCTGTGCACTTATCTCTGGGGAAGAATGTTCTTACTTCCTTTCCCTTTGTTTTCAACCCATCTCTTTCCACCAAGATTTTAGCCTTGTTTCTTCCTTACATCTGCAATCTGTCACTCAATTTGTGGTAACATGGAGCAAAAAAGAGTCCCAGCTCTGACGCTTGCTACATTTGTGATCTCTCAGTAAATTTAGACTAACAGTTGCCCCGCCCATTTCAAATTATCATTGTGAGAACACGAGATGATTTGCAATTGATAAGGCACTAAAAACTCAAAGAATAATCATGAGTATTGGACACTTTAAATGACAAAAATGAGCTGCTGCGTCCCCTCCCACAATCCCAAAGCCCCCTTCCTTTAACTCAGCAATGTGCCCTGCTAGTGCCAGGGTCCCTCCCTTCACCTCTGCTTCTTCAAAGCTTTGTGTTCCACTCTCTTCCCCACTTCCTCACCAGCCACTCACCCCTCAACACTTTGCTACTACTTTCTGCCAGTGCCTTGACTGAAACTGCACTCTTTGAGGATGGTACTATAAAATCAAAAGCCTTCAGATTACTTCTGTTTCCTGCCACCGAGGCTCAGAAGGAGCTGTGGTTTGCCCCAGCTCCTTGTCCTCTCAGCCCATCTTTATCTTGGCCGTTGTTCCCACTGACGCCCTGTCATGCTGTTTCTGCCTGGGCAGTGGGTCTTGCATGTGGACCTTTTTCCTACATCCAGTGTTTCTCCATGGATTTGACTTTCATTTTCTTTGGGAGTTTAGCACAAAAATGTTGCTTTTCTATTTGATCTTCCGCTTTTCTAATCCATTTTCCACAAGGCTGCTTAGCCAGACTCCTTAAATCACTGTTTCACTGGCCTGTCATTGCTTCCTGGAGAAACCCTTCCGCTGGCCCCTCTGGTTCTTTACAGTTCAGCCCTGCATGTCTTCCAAAGCTCCCATCCCACTACTTTCCACCAGAGCCACTGGTCTGGACATGTTTTCTATCTTCTTCCCTGAAACCTCCCAACATTGACACCTCCCTCCTCCTCCTTCCCTCTTCACTTTCCATCAAACTTCATCACAAACTCACATCATCTGAGGCTCTTCTTGCTCTCCAGCCTGATTGCAAGGATCACACCTTCAAAGCCCCTGGCTTTACTTTCTTCCTTGCATTATGTTGTAACTCCTTTAATGGTGTGTCAATTCCTTAGTGGGATCATGTGTCATACCAGAATTACATGGGGAACCTGTTTTCTACACATGATGAGCTCAATAAATGTTAAACTGATTATCTAGCTCAGGGTAGGTTTACACATGCTGGATTAAAAATCTCATCTCAGCTGATGCTCAGTGAGATCAAGGCACTTTATGGGAAACACGGAAGGGGAATCACATATTGGTTTCTGGATGTAATAATAGCATGATAAATATTAATCCAGTGCCCATTCTCATTCTCGGCTTCCTATGTGATGGATGTGCTCAGTTTTGCGTCCACCAACCCCCTCCAGAAAATGTTAGCCTGTAAGTCTTCATATCATCTAGGTGTGTTTACATTTAATGGAGTATCTTTGCAGACAAAAGCATTTAAAACAAGAGGAATGATGTTTTTCATTATGGCCATCAGTGATTATTTTCTAATTTGGTACTAAGCAGTCCTAAGGGCTTCAGAAGTATAGCTAGTTTAATCTTCATAATGTGTGTGTGTGGGAATATTACTTTTGTCTCCATTTTTATAGATGAGGAAGCTGAGGTGTGTAGAGGTTTAGTAACTTGCTCAAGTGATTTGTGAGTGGTAGTGAAACTGTCAATATTAAAATAATGTAGAGTCATGAGGTATAAATAGCAATCAAAGTCTTTTTTTTTTTTTTTTTGAGACAGAGCCTCAAGCTGTCCCCCTGGGCAGAGCGCCGCGGCCTCACAGCTCACAGCAACCTCCAACTCCTGGGCTCAAGCGAGTCTCCTGCCTCCGCCTCCCAAGCAGCTGGGACCACAGGCGCCCGCCACAACGCCTGGCTATTTTTTGGTTGCAGCCGTCATTGTTGTTTGGCGGGTCCGGGCTGGGGATTCGAACCCGCCACCTTAGGTGTACGTGGCTGGCGCCCCAGCCGGTTGAGCCATAGGCGCCGAGCCAAAGTCTTATTTTTATAAAAGTATAGATACAGCCAGAAATTAATCAGCCATTGTTCTGTAACTTCCTTACTGCTGCAGCTGGTTACTTCTCCATAGGACTGTCCTTCCAGAAAGGTGCAAGCTTTGTGACTTCCCATGCTACTTTTATAGATAACAGTGCTATCTCAGCCCAAGGACTTGTGATTCTATAGGTAAGGTTGGACATTGAAGTATTTTTCAGACTCTGTATTTTGGGGGATTGACTGATGCCAACCAGACCACAGATAGGTGTGGGAATGGATCCAACAGCCTTGAGACCCCCCATTCAGAAAATATCCCAGCTGAGGAGATAATCTCTGTGAACTCATACTCCACCAACAAGCAGACATGAATGCCTAGGCCTTTGTCCATGAAACTATCTTTTAAAAGCCTTTCTTGCAAGTTTTTGGAGAGATGGATTTGAGAAATTATGCCCTTCTCCTCACCTGGCACTTTGTATAATAAAACTTTATCCATCGTGACACCCACTGTCTTAGTATACTGGAGGATATCACCAGGCAGTGGGTAAGGGACCCTGCTGGCTGTAACAGGGTAGCTCCAATTTGAAACCAAGAGATTAGGAACCCTGATTTAATCTGCATACTGCAATCTCCTACTTTTGTGGAATGACTCACAGTTGATTGTGGAGGGTAATTCTTAAAAGAGAGAGAGTGGTTAAGAGAGTGAGTGGGCAGCAAGCCTTGATCTCACCCCTCCTCAGATCACGACATTATTAGAAAATCTGACAGGGAAGTTTAAGAATTGAAACTGAGAATCTCATTCTCCAAAACCATCCTATGCCTTATCCATCACCTCCTTTTAGTCATTTAAAGAAAGAAAATTGATTCCTCACCTGAGTTTCCCAGGCCTCAAGGTTCAACGGCTGATTTTGGATGCTGCTAGTTCTCAAGCACACAGGAAGAGTGACTGTGATGGGCCAAACCTGGGGCTGAAATTGCTGATAGATACCATGTGACAGGAAATTGGTAGCTTCTGCTACCTTGTGCTTCGCTCCAATTACTTTGGTTTAATGTATGCTTACCAGTGCTGCGGGAGATACAAAAAAATTTCTGCCTTACCACGAGGTTTCACTTCTTGAAAAATATCCCTGGGGGCTGCCTGGTGGGGTTCATGCTACCTTAATTAGAAGAACCTCTGCAGCCCCCACCCTGTGAGCAGGTGTGGATGGTTGGTCCCTAAGGACAAGAGGAACACTAGAAAATCTTCAAAGATGGGCCATTGGGACTGACTTTTACCTTCTTGTTTCACTTTTAGGAGTGAGTAGGTGGGAAGGAGGCATCCATGCAGAGAATCAAGAATCATGGGCCCATCTGCTTAATACTGTACTGACGTGCCTACAAATATTGTCCTCATTTGCTCATACTTAGGCTCTTACTGGACCATGTATATCTTGTGTCAGATTTAGCAGAAATGGTCTAAAATATACTTTATTGTGCCAGAACATGTGCCCAGGAGCTCAAGGCAAGAGTTAGCCTCCATATTTGGAGATAAAAATTGAAATAGCACTTTCACTTACCCACTCACTGATGACCTTTCTCTTCCACCTGTCTAGTTCCCTGGTGTCCCTTTTCTTCTCGGTCTGGAATAGAGCTCTAAGATCATCAGGCTAGTGCTAGATCAAGTGGGAAAATGAAGGAATTTGGTGGCATCAGGACAGTCTAAAGTGCTAGGAGGCAAACCAAAGAAAGTTTAACTCAAATATCTTGTCATCCCTCCCCCCCCCCCAACCATATGTAAACTTTGTGTTCAGATGTTGGATCTTTTAAAACATTTCAGTTTCCTCAACCATTGTTTTATTTTTATTAAAGACACAGAGCTATAGTTAGTTATAGTTATTTATTTAATCTAAAGGGATTCAACTTGGCAGCTCTTGGACCACCTAATCTGTGGTCCATTCAGGTTTTTCCTCCTTCTCTTCTATTTCTATCCCTGCTTCTCTTTTTTTGTTAGAGGATTTGGAACCACAAAGTTAGAAGCAATTGATTCATGTACTCCTAGGGAGGCTGAATTTGGTGCAACATGAAAAAAAACATTTTCTTACCATCGAAGCAGTCCATTATGGGAACTCGCTACCATTGGAATAGAGAATTTGCAGTCATCAAGAATACTCAAGTAACATCTGGGCAGTCACCTGTCAGAAATGCTCCTACAGAGTAGAAGAGTGGAAACAGAAGGCCCACCACCCATTTGAGATTATAGTTGTTAGTTTGTGCATATCTGGTAAAATCCTTCAATGAGTGGTGACAGGGATGACAGTTACACAGGGTGTAGACTATGGGTGATCGTGAGACCTGAGATTTGAGTGGGGGAGGTGGGGTGGTTAGAGGCATGTGCCTTCATTTTAGTGGGTGGGGGAGCAGAGTCAGGACCTGGAAAACATAGAATTGAGGTTGCACAACTGATCTTTTGTATCATTTTCTCTGATTAAGTCCTTCCGCACCACCCCCTCATGTTGGGTTGTTTGCTATTTTGATCTTTGTGGCTAATGAAGTAACTTACGTGGTTCCATGTATGATTCTTCCCAAATAAACCTGAATTTGAATTTGTATGAGTGAATAAATGTTGACCTTGTCTTTGCTGATTTGAACTGATTGAGTTTTCAATTTGTGCGTGTGTGGAAATTCCTGCTACAGTTTGGATTTGACCATAGCACTTTCTTTGATGTACCACCACTCCCACCCCCAGGCTTGGGGATATTTAATTAGGTCAGTAACACATTTAAAATATTTCTCTTTGCCATCCTTGTCATGACAATGGGGCCTATTGGGTGGCTTCTCTTGGAGAAATCAACAAGAGATGCCATGAACCAGACAAGTGAGCTGACAGGGTCACCCCAGACCCTGAACTTTGGTTCATATCTTTGTTCAAAGGCAAGAACATGTTTTCTTGTCCTTTAGATGAAAGAATGCATGACTAACAGAGGTGACAACACCAAGGTGACCATTTGATTTGGGGAGAGAGTGACATGGCATTGTTAAGAAGCAGGATGTGTTTTATTAGCCAAAATGTCACCAGAACCACCTCCAATGGGTCACTCCCCTTTGCTTTAAAGAGTTGCCAGCCTTAGGATTTTATGCTCCATTTGGCTTTTCCTCACAAGCAGGAATCATCTCTAAATGTTATATTATTATAAGGCCTCTTTATTTTCATAGTGCTACTTAACACCATTCCCCACAATCACAGTCTTCTGAGCTGAACCCCACGATCGACAAAGGCAATGTAATCAATAACTCAAAAACGCTGAAGACCGTCAACATAATCAAAATTCCCTGCAACAGAAGAAGAAAAATAATGAGGAGTCATAATATTAGCACAGTCATAGTTTTTCTGATTAGAATGAGGTAACAATACCCAGATTATAAAAGCTCCTCCACCTCTCTCAAGTCTATCTGATGGTTAGGAATTAAATTAATGGAGGACCATGAGAGTGTACAGCTATTTTATCATAGCATGTTATTTTCTTAGAGCAAGTCATAAAAAAATACATTTTCTAAATTATGTGTAGGAAATAGTTCATTTTATAAATACAACTAAATGCATTTAAAAAAGTGTAATGGATTTTGCTAGGTTTGGTATCAAGATTCTCCTGATCCAATGGGGGAAAAAAGTGGTCTGATGGAGGAGAAAGAAAGAAGGCAGTGAAAAAACAGGAAAAAAAAAAAAGAGAGAGAGAGAAGCAATAGTAGAAAAGTAAAGAAAACAGAGGGAAAACTTACAGTCCCAGAAAAATAGAGGGACTTATAGTAAAAAAGAGATAAGAAGACATAAAGAAAGCAGCTGTTAGGAGTACCACTTTGAATTATTTTTTTCACTACAGACAAGACCTTTACAATGCTTTGTACTGGCAACTGAGAGCACAAATATGGGTACACACTTCATCGGTAGCCCAGAGACTGGACGCAGCCCTATGTCAGGTAAGTTTGTGGTCCTCTGACAGCTGGACTTTATATGTACACTGCAAAGGTTAATGCATCCTGTTCTTTCGCCTAATTTGTCTACTATGTTTTAACTATAGGTTTATTTTAGAACCACGCGGTTGTAAATGGACACTTAATATTTCATGCTGTAGTTTTGCCATTGTTCATGTATTCTTGGGTGACAGGAAATAATTAATTTCTTCCTCCTTTTCTTTGCTGTGGTTTTTGTTTGTTTTACCACTCTGAACAATGCTGCAATGGTATTCCTGTACATATACCCTTCTATATAGGTGGTTTAATTGCTCTGAAGAGAGACACCGGAGTTAAAAGCCACGTGTATTTTTCAGATAAATTAATGTCGTTTTCTTGCTTTCCAAAATGATAGTAACATTTCATAGTTCTACAGCTAATACATAAGAACATTCTTTTCACCATATCCCTGGCCAGTCATGTTAGCACTCTTTAATTTTTGCCAGTCTAATGAATGCAAATATTAGTTCCTTGTTAATTTAATTGGCATTTTCCTGACTGCCAGTGAATCGGGGCATCACTCTTCATGTTAGGCCAGTAGAAGAGTTTATTATTATTATTATTATTATTTTGTAAATTCCCTCCTCATATTGTCTATTTTTTTATTGTGCGCTTGACCTTTTTTGATAGTTATATGCAATCTGTATTAAAACCTTAAAATGTGGCTGTTAGCTGCTTTAAACATATTTTGCTAGTTTTTTTTTTAACCATACCAAAGTTTATATATAAAGAAGTGTTCCCTCACTGCTGGTGGGAATGCAAACTAATATATTCCTTTTGGAAAGACGTTTGGGGAATACTTAGAGAACTAAAAATAGACCTGCCATTTGATCCTACAATTCCTTTATTAGGTATATATCCAGAAGACCAAAAAACACATTACAACAATGATATTTGTATTAGAATGTTTATTGCAGCCCAATTCATAATTGCTTGGTCATGGAAGAAGACCAAGTGCCCGTCAACCCACGAATGGATCAAAAAACTGTGGTATATGTACACCATGGAATATTATGCAGCCCTAAAGAAAGATGGAGACTTTACCTCCTTCATGTTTACATGGATTGAGCTGGAAAATGTTCTTCTTAGCAAAGTATCTCAAGAATGGAAGAAAAAGTATCCAATGCACTCAGTCCTATTATGAAATTAACTTATAGCTTTCATATGAAAGCTATAACCTAATTATAGCCTAAGAATACGGGGAAGGGGGAAGGGTAGGGAAGCGGGTGGGTCTGTGGAGGGAGGGTGATTGGAGGGATCACCTCTATGGTTTATCTTACAAGGGTACAAGTGATTCTTTCTAAAAGTAGAATATAAATGTCTTAACACAATAACTAAGAAAATGACATGAAGGCTATGTTAAACAGTTTGATGAAAATATTTCAAATTATATATAAAAACACCACACTGTACCCCATGATTGCATTAATGTACACAGCTATGATTTAATAATAAAAAAAAAAAACTGGAAAAAAAAAGTGTTTTATCTTTTTTTTTTTGGCTTTCCAGATCAAGATACAGCACATTTCCATCCCCCTAGTAAGTTTTCTTGGGTTCATTCCCAGTCAGTTCTCCCAAGAGTCAGCCACTCTTCTGACTTTTAACATTGTATTAAATGTGCCTGTTTATTTTTGTATCTGAAATTACTTACTATAGTGAACTGAAATTTATCATATTGTTCTATGTAGCAGAAGGTTGTTCTTTTTCACTGCTAAGTATTCCATTATTTGAATAATTATCATTTGTTTAGCTATTCTGCTGCTGATTTGAATTTTTATTGCTTCAAATTTTTAACTATCATGAATGGAGGTGGCTGTGAACATGCTTGTATGTATTATGAGGCAGAAAACAGGTATATGCATAATTTTGTAAAAAACTGCCAAATAGCTGTCCAAGGTGGTTGAGCCATTTCACACGCCCTCCAACAATGTGTAGAATACTAGATGCTTCACAATCCTTCCAACACTTGGTATTACCAGTTTTTAAAATTAAAATCATTCTGGCTTGAAGTTCAGTGGTGTCTTCTTGTGGTTTTACTTGGCATTTATCTGATAGTTAATAATGCTTTGCACAGTTTTGCGTGCTTACCAGCCACTTATCTATATTTCTCTGAGTAGTGCTCATGCAAGCCTTTTTTATTTGTATTTGTATTCTTTTGGCTTTTTATTATTGATTTTTGAGAGTGCTTAATATATTTTGGACCTTTTGTGACATATCTAGAGTGGGGACTTTTTATCCCTTTCTGTGCCTTGCATTTTTTAGTTTCTTAATAATGTCTTTGGTGAAATAGTCTTAATTTGTTTCATTCTTTTATTTTATTTTTTTGAATTTTGAAGTAGTCCATTTTACTGTCTTTTTCCTTTGTGGTTAGTCCTTTGTGTTTTAGAAAGCTTTGCCTACTCCCAAGGTCATGGAGATAGTCTCCTAAGTTACACACTTTCTCCCCCTCCAAAACTTTGTAGTTTAAAGTTCACATTTAGGTCTATCTTTGATTTTTGAATGTGAAATCAGTTGTGTTCTTCTGGTATCAACAGACACGGCCATGCTCTGTTATCTGTTTCTGAATTTGATATCCTAATATTATATTTCATATTTCTGCACAAAGTTTATGAAATTGCCTGTAGATTTCCCATCTTTGATAATGTTCTTGTCATATTTTAGTGGCAAAGTTGTGACAGCATCACAAGAATACTTTTGAGTTGACAAGTGTTCTTGTCCCATTTTCTGAAACTATTTGTTAAGTTTGGTATTATTTCTTTTCTAAATGCTTAGAAAAATTAGTCTGCTCTTGGATTGCTTTGCTTTCTCTCTTTTTTAATTGAGAGAATTTTTCAATTATAGATTTCATTTTTTATTAGATATAAGCCTAATCAGATGTTCTGTTTTCACCTATCTTAGTTATGGCAGGTATATGCCATAGTAGTTTTTGACGTAGTTTTTATAGGTAGATTTCATAAAGGATTTGTCAATTTCATCTAATACATCACACCATTTTTTTCATCACACCATTTTTATAACAGTGTTCAGATTCTCATATTGTAATGGCTGTGTATTAACAGTGGTGTACCTTTGTTAGATTCTGGTATTGACAGTTTATGTATTCTCTGTTTTCTTTATTAATTGCTAGGGGGTTGTGAATTTTATTCTTCTTCTTCTTTTTTTTTTTTTTTTTTGCAGTTTTTGGCCGGGGCTGGGTTTGAACACATCACCTCTGGCATAGGGGGCCGGCACCCTACTCCTTTGAGCCACAGGTGCCGCCCGAATTTTATTATTCTTTTAGACATCTATATTTCAGCTTTTTGGTCTTATATACTGTTTTATGTTTATTTCATTAATTTTTATCTCATCTCATTCTTTCATTGTCTTTAAATTTAATCATTTTGTCTAATTTTCCAAGAGAAATTTTATTTAAGAAAAAGAGAAAGTTTAGAGCACTTCAAAAGAGAGGCGGAAGTGGGTTCCTGTCATGAAGGAGCAGAGGTGAGAGAGACCTGTATAATTTCTTGATATAAATATTTAGGTACATTTTTAGTGTGTTTTATTTCATAATATTTGCACTTAAGGTGAGGCTATAAAGTTTCGTCTAAGCATCTATTAGTTGTATACAATAAAATTTTATATGAATATTTTCATTATAATTTCATTTTTAATATATTTTCTATTTGTAGTATAAGTTCTTCTTTGAACCTTGCATAATTTAGTTTTCAAACAGTTTTGGGATTTTTTTAAGCTAGTTTTTAAATTAATATTCAAATCCATTTCTTTGTGTTCAAAGGAAATATTGTATATGATTTTAATCCTTTGAATTTTGCTGAGATTTGCGCCATGGGTCAGCATATGATTGGTTAATTGTTGAAACTTTCTGTGTGAAATCTGTCAAGTTTTGTCAGTTATTTTTATTTCAGTTTCACTTTTTTTCTTAAGTCAAATATACATAGATCATGAATACATTTATGCCTTTGTGGGATTCAATGTGTTGATTATTTGTACAAATCAGAGTGCTTACATCCTACTAATTAACATAGCTTTCCCCTCATTACTTAATCACAGTGTTAAGACATTTGTGTTAAATACTTGAAAGATTTGATTTGTACCCTTGCAGTATGCTCCATAGGTGTAGTCTCACTATTAACTCTCCCTCTATATAACCACCCCCCTCCTTTTCCATCCCCCATCCCTTCCCTCCTTCATCCTGGGCAATAGTTGTGATTCATCTTTCATATGAAACTGTGAGTGATTATAAATTGGTTTTATAGAAGTACTGAGTACATTGGATATTTTTTTCTGTTCCTGAGATAATTTACTAAGAAGAATATTTTACA